CTTGGTGTGGAAATGACTGTGGGAATGGTGGTCATTGGACCTGGCTCAGTGGGTGTGCAATGAAAGGGGACCCAGACCACAATATATTTGGTGCCTGAAAACTCCCTTTGCAGTAATGTGACAGATATTAATCTGAGGCAAGGATCTGCCCTTGTAAGAAATGGTAGGCAGATCTCTCCATAGCACCAACCCCCATGCTCAATGCAAACAGAGCACAAAGCAACATCTCGTGGATGACAGCTTGCAGCGGCACGGTGCTCACATCAACTCCTCATAGCAACAGTCCCTTAAACCCTAAGGACATTGGGCATATTGATGTTATTAACATAATCACCTCGTGCTACAGGGGGATGATTAACAATGTTATTTGTTTGTGTTAAAACAATTTTTTTAATTAAAAAAATTCCTCCTTTTCATTTGTCTTAGATTTCTTTGGTTGTTGTGCTTGTTGGTTTTGTTATAATATGACCACCAAAGTATCCCAGAGTTGTTCATAATCTGTGGACAAGCATATGGATTCTGGGCTCCCACTTAATCCTAAAACTAATCCAGTAGTTCTTATAACACGGCCCTGCTCGATACTCACCTTCAGGAAGAGATCACTGAAGAGATGGGTGCTACAGCAGCAAAGTGTGGTGAAGAAAGCAGATGATCCTGGCTATTAATTGGAATAGTGCCTGGGGTCTTAAAGGCTTGTATTTAAACAAGCAGCCATCTAAGTGAAGTGTCGATTAAGTCCACATGGCCGAAGCACACCAGCCTGTGTGATCCAACGATGACAATAACACAATCCAAATACGATGGGAAAAGTATCAGAGCTTAAATTGTGAACACCTAATTTGTAGAAGACTCTGTAGGGCAGGAGGAGCCCAAAATTCATCTGGATGCTATCTAGTCAGATGGAGCCCCTGGCAGATCCCCTCTAGCTACAGGCAAGGGACTCTAACAGTTATACTATCAGACAGATACTACTGTGAACTTGATTATGGTGGATCAAACTATGGTATGAAAGTGGCCAATCGACCTCTCTCTTGACCCAACCTAAATTTGTTCTAGGCTTACTTATTTCTCGCGTGTTCCATGTCAGAAAATTCTCTGGTTTTTCAAATATTGTTGGCGGTCTTTTCTTTCATTTTTATCACTACTACTTTCTGTTTCATTTTTGTATTAGTCTGGGTAGACTAGAGAAACAAATTCATCGACATTCATATGTGTGTAATAGGCAACTTTATATCAAAGAGCAATTGTATATTTAGAAAACATCCTAGCCCAGTCCAGATCAAGTCCTTAAGTCCGATATTAGCCGATATGTCT